TCTTTGTATTGTATGTTTCTTTTTAACAAGAGAATGTTTTCTTATTCGTTACTGTTGCTGGTATTTTAACTTATTTCGTCTTTGTTTTCTAATATTCTAAACGTATATATTATTTGAACGAACAAAAAAACAAAAGACGATATTTCCTATTCATCGTAAATCACTAGTAACTCTTATTAATTTCCATCTGATGAAAGAGTGATAGTTCTGTTTTTTTTCTTTCTTTCTTTCTTTTTATTGTATTATTTCATTTAAAAACATTCCGTTTCTCGATGAATCGATCAGTATATAGCTTTTGTTTCTTCAAAAACAAAAAAAGTCCATATTTATTGTAGTATATTCGAAAAATTTTATTTACATGTTTTCTTTTGTTGTCTTTTTTTTTAATTACTCTATGCTATATCTCATTTTTCTAGTTATTTTTTTGTCCGGTTATATACGTATCTATCTTGTAAAAAGTCAAATAAAAAAAAAAACATAATTTCTTGTTTTAAAAGAAGAAAAAATAGAGTTTTGGTTTTCGATAATTCGTAAATGAACTTAAGGGCATCTCCTTTCCCGGATTTCTCAAGAATGATCCGACCAAAATTTTTGAACTTTTCAGAGTAGATAGATCTCGATTAGTAGAGTAAAAGTTGTCATAGACTCAGAATCTCTAGATGCTTCCTTCTATGAAATATAGGGTGTGTAGGGGCCAAAAAATGAGCTGATAGTCTTCTCCCTCACAAATAGCCAGAATTCATTTTTTGTCACTGAATCTTTTTTTTTGTATCAACTAGGATCAAATCAGGGTGAATATATATATGTTTTTTTTTGGAAAAATATTGTTTCCTTCGCTTAGGAGAACTAAAATACTGGAAGTCCTGCCAAAAAATACCAGAACATTATTTTAAGAAAAAAGAAAAATATATATATACACCCCGATTTAGTCTTAATTGTCACACAAAAAACTTCAGCTCAATCGGTCGAAGCGTCTGGGAGAAAAAAAGGGAAAAAAAGCTTCAATTTTTCTCTAGAAAAGTAGATTTTGAGAAAAACGTGAAGCAACATAAAACACCGTTTTTTCGATATTTCTTGTCTTTTACTTTTTTCATGCATAGCTATCAATTAATGCACTTGTAGAGCGACTAGAAGAATGCATCGTTGACCCACACAACATCTTTTAATGATGAAATAACTAAATTAGTATAGATCATTTACAACACGATAGACAATATTTTACTTTGTTGTGCATTTTTCTCAAAAATCAATTTTTGACCAAAAATAAAATGACGTTTTCTCTCCCACACCGTATGTCCGAGTGGGCTTAAGGTTTTTTTATGAGTACTTCGATCAATTTGAGATGCATGTTTTTTTTTTTCTTTCTTCAAAATATCGTTCCTATGAAATTCGACAGCCTTTACAAAATTAGTGTGAAAAAAAGCACACACCTCAATTTGATCCTAAAACAAAATTATAGCTCGAAAAAATGGAATATAGAGTTTTACTGGGGGAAACTTCCGATCACTTTTGGTTTTTGCAAGTCTCATATATTCTTGAAGAAAACATTTAGGAATTTCGAGTCTAGGACAAATTTTGCACGACTTATTGAAAATCTATCTGCTTTGAAAATTTCATAATTTTTCATCGAGCCGTTCTCGAGAAACCTCGAAAAAGCGGGGAGGCCTCTTAAAGAAAAGAAAATGGCAGGAGAATAAAAAAAAAATACGTAGCTATTGGTTGATTGGTCAAAGTGATATTGTCATGGTGAGAAGTTTATAATCCTTCGTTCTTCCTTGCCAATGATTCATATTTATTGCAAAAAAAGGAAATTTATTATGTATTAAACATTTTGAAATTTTCATACAGATCAAATGAGTTTTTTTGGAAGTCTTAGTAAAAAAGCTGTTGAAAAAGTCTACGATCTTGCATCAAAAGTTGAAGGTGGTCGAGATTATTTAACTTCAGCTACTAATACAGTCAATACATTAGTTAAAGGCAGTGATCCACGGTAGAATAAATGAATAAAAAATACGTCTCAAAATAAATATCTATATATTTTAGTGTTCATTTAAAACATGGTAATGTAATTCAATTATTTTCTCGATCATCTGGTCGTACAATACAAATTGTAATGTCAAAAACAAATCAACTAATATGTAATGCTATAGGTGGTACTGGTTCATATTATTCAAATGCTTGTTGGATGGTTATACCAACTCAAAATGATCGTTATTATTTTCATAATAATTATAATTATCTTGCTATTAAATATGGTCAAATTGTCATTATACCATTATCAATGCATCAATATCCTCCTCCTGAAGCTGAATTTCGTGTACAAGATGTTTTAGGTTCAGCACATGCTATTTATTTAGAATCTGTACGAACACCTGGATGTTTTATTGGTTTTAATTGGGATGGCGAACCTTGTAATGAAATAAAAATAGAAACAAGAGAAAAATTTGCTCAACTTGAAATTCATCTTGTAAGTTTTATGAGTATGTTCTTCTTTCTTGAATCAATACTGTTTATATTCTATTCATTTTACTTTATTGAAACAAAATATGAAAGTTTTGTTCAATGTCTTAAAATTTCACGAAATAATCTATTCTCAAGCAAACAAAAACAAAGACATGTGCAAAACAAAATTGATTTTAAGAGAAAAAAAAAACAGAATAATATTAAACTTAATAGACACTCTTTACATATTGACAGTAGAAATCAATGTTTTATGCAGTGAGAGAATCGAAAGGACACTACCTTAGCGAAGATCAGGTTGACTCTCTCGAAGTTTCAAATCGCCATTCTGGAAGAGAAAATCTGAATAAATCATTAGTTGAAGTATTGTCCGTATAGTACATTCCAAGAGTGTTTTTTCATAGATGGATATAACTACAATAAGTCTCTGCCTAGAGATTGCGAGACTAAGTTTCTTTTCGTCCTCGTAGCTCTATTCTAGCTCCCATTCCGATGGCTTCTTTTTGAGTAGTCTCGGTTCCGATAATTTTAGTTTTTCGGCAGCCAAGTATTTAGAGGGGATCAATCTTCACCTTTTCAAAAAAAATTTCATTAACAATTTGCAAGGCTGTTGTTCTTTGAACTTCAAAAACATTCTTATTAATCAATTAATATAAGCTGCATGTTTCTGTCGACTCTTTGTTTGCTATAAGTAATGTCAAATATACAAGTAACATTCATCGCAATTAAAAATCGATTCACTGAATTCTAGACTGACGGAATGATGACTAAGATATGCTAATATTTTTATATAAAAATGAATTCTCTACAATGATGACTTTGAGAGAAATTAATAATATTTGAAAGATGTTGCATAGTATATAGTATAAATATATTCAAACGGTTAACATAAAATATAAAAAGATATTTTTGTGCATGATAAGGTTTATGCTTTAGCTGATTATAATAACAAAAAAATGGTTAATTGTGCCAGAGAAATTGCCGTTTGTGCGGCAGAAATGCTCATTTATGCCATAAAACTGGTCATTTGTGTCACAGAAATGGTCAGTTGTGCCATAAAAATGGTCATTAATGCCAAGGCCTTGTTACAGACAGATAGATACAGATGAATTACGGTTTCTAGACCCTAGACTTTCAGTCTAGGGAAAAAGAATATTCTATAACAACTGAGGATAAATTGTTAGCGACATTTTTCTTGATGTAGAAGATTGAAATCTTTATTTTACAACAACATGAAGTATTGGTCGTAAGGTTCATAGCACAATTAATTAATGAACGTAGAAAATCTGTGTAGATATCGGTGCTAAATTTGTTGATGTATGTAGGATTGAAAATGTGTGGAATATAATGAACAAAATCATTCGTGGAAAAGTGTTTGATACATCATTGCAATTAGAAAAAGAAAATTTTCGAACGAAAGATGTTCAAAACTGATAGACGAAATACTTCACAATCGGTCATAGAAAGCAATGGAGACCGATGTTCATATATATAGAGTTTTTATTATAATTTATGTTTTTGGAAAAAAGAAGTTCTCTTGAAAAGTTTCATTTCCATTAGATTTTAATAAATATGACTACTCAAGAAATAAAGATGTCACTAGAATTCATGTATTGTAATTTAGTCCATGTATTTCAGTATTAATTTACAGAATCGGCCGGGTTTCGATCCATGATTTTATTTTTTTCGAATCCGAGATGAAAAACAAAACTGCGAAACAAATTAATTTTCATTTTCAACATGCAAGTCATGCTTTTGTATTATTATTATTTGTTGTTCATCTTTTTTAAAAGATTGCTGATGGATCTGGTGGTATTCAACCTGAACTTATTAATACAAGAGTTGAAACATTTGATACATCAGCACCTCCATCATATTGGGAAGCAACTAATGGGTTAAATAATCAATCTACAACTTGACATAGATCAAACTGAACATTCTTATAAATAATCGAGCTTTTTTGATTTTTTTTGTTTTGTGCATCAAACATAAAATAAAATGTTGTAATATTGTAATCGATTTCTAACGCCATCTATCATTTGATGAATGTGTTTGTTTGTTTTTCTTATTTGATTATTCATGATTGGTTTTATTAAGTTAACCAATAATAAACGAAAAATGTTGCACCAAATATAATGATGTATGACCTCATCTATTGAAAGAAATGACATAATGTGTTCTAGACATCTTAGATGTTGTTTTTTTCTTATTTAGTAAAATTATGAAACGTTCAATAGTGATAAATAATTCAATTGATAATAAGAAAATAAATGAATATCATAAACAACAACGAAAACGTTCGTTAGAAGATTCAAATTTAATGATGAAATTAAAAAAACGTCGACATCTTTCTCCACAATATGATAATAATATCACTTCGTCATCTATGAAAATCAAAACAAAACAACGATCTTCATTAAATAATTTAACTGTTAGAACGAAAAATACTAGTCAAACATCTCGTGTAAGTCTTAATTATTTATTGATACTAAGTTCTTAAAATTAACTTTATAATTTCAACAATAAGATTCAAATAAAAAAATAAAATAAAGAAATCTAATTAGTTCTTATTGAGTTATATTTTAAGATTCGATTGAAGTCTAACCAAGTTTTCGAATTTATTATTTCCTAGAGACTTTCTAACTAATAAGGAAATATTTTCAATCGTTTTCTCACTAAAAGCTACTAGACTGAATTATCAATAATTCTGTTTCCGACTATGATCATAAGAAATTCAGCATAAAGTTTCTATCGAACGCAATTCTGGAAAGCTTTGAGATCTGTATTTTCTTTATATAAATTGTTCTTTATTATCATTCAAATAATGTGTTACTTCATGACTATATCTCGAAGCTGAATCGGTTCAGAATAAAACTTTTTCTTTCACATGATAGTTCTCCGTAAATAACATTAAACATGTCCCTAAAATACGTTGTATGAGTAATAGTTTGTTTTTGTTTTGAAATGAAGTTTCTTGAAGTTATTCTTTTAGTATATTTTTACGCTCATTCTTTTTCTTGTAATAGTATATACCCATAGGTTTCAAATGATTACTAATTGCTTCAAAAGCTGATTCTAAATTTCGGAGTTATTCGACGTAAAGAAATACTAGTCTTGTGATGCACTAGTCGTTTCAATCGTGTCAGTTGCTCATGTTATGGTTTCTTTAGACCACTAACTCTAGGTTTGTCACAAATATTGCTAGAATCTTCATATTTCTTAATAATATTATATATAGTTTGACGAGAAATGTTCTCTTGTAAAAAAGTAATTTACAGTAATCTTTTGCAGATGTTCTCATTCTGAACGTGTATCATAGCTACCAAAATAAAATGATGATATAACATGTTATATATCAAATTGACACTTTATAGATGCACAGAAATGTGAGAAAAGCTTACTCCGTTGTCAGAAATGTATGTAATAATATTGTATCGAGACTTTTTACACATAGGTTCATATTATCTTACAGATTTTCATGTTGAAATGTCTGTTATATCACTTAAAAGAGCTATATTTTCTGCATTCAAAAAAAAAACGACTTGAAACAAAAAAAGTTACCATTTTGTGGACAATTCGATATGTTCGATAGATCAAAGAAAAACTATTTGGTGAAAAGCTTGTTAGTCTGAAAAATCTAAGAGGATTTCTCATGGTCATATTTGAAATTAACAATTCATTAGCTTTCGGTGAGAAAGGAATTGATTAGTTGAAAACATTCACTTGTAAGATATTGTTTTTCTTTCTTTTTAATCATTAAAATCTAATAGAATTCTAAAAGCATTCATTTTCCTACAAATAAAATAAATTTCATTCTTTTGATTAATAGATAATTATTATTTTTTTCATAATATATTTTTATTAAAATATTCTATAGTTATAAATAGATTGTTTTGAGAGTAATACAAGCGAGATATATCGATTTCTAATCATGGAAAAATCTTGTCTTTCTGTAGTGTAACCGAAACACTTTCTCGTAGTTAGTTAGAGAGATTTCATTTTGACCTTGATTCTTATTTTCTTTTTCTATACTTATAAACCTAGAAAAGAATTGTCGACTCTTCATTGAGAATTTATACATAGTATCTATGTGTATTCTTCCTTTTTGAAGATAATTGAAAATAATTTTTAGATCGAAGAACAATTTCTTGTTAATGTGAGAAAAATTTTTCTTTTTTAAATTGTTTCTCATAAGCAAGAAATCGTTTAATGTATCATTTGAACTTCAAACTGTCGCATCTAACGAGCCATATGTCACAACTGATTATTTGCGTTTGAGTGGAGATTGTGTAGGTTCGAATGATTTCTGGAAGAACTTCAGAATCTTAGTTTATTGCTGTGGAGATATTGCAACAAATAGTTTTCAAACTTTGGAAAGAAAATTGAAAATAAAAAAAAGTATATTTTAGTTTATTATAGATTAATTACAAAGAAAGAAAATCAAGTTATCTCCAATCTCTTAAGGATACTTCCTTTCCCGCTTTCTGAAGAGTTTTTAGAGAATCATTTGATCAGAAAAATTTGAAATTTTCAGAGTAAATAGATCTTGACGAGTAGAGCAAAAGTTGTCATAGACATAGTTTTTGAATGCTGTCGATTTACAGATTGGCATTGTTTTTAAATAATTCTAAATTAATCACTAAGATAGTTGAATTGTAATTAATTTATTCGAGAACTTTTTTCTTTTTTTTTTGTGTATTTATATTGTATAATTTATATTTTAGAAATCTTCATCTCGTCGTTATTTATTTTCAACTGAACATTTAAATAAAATTAATTTACCTAATTGGGAATGTATATCACCAAATATTAACCAAATCTTATCAGATAAACATACAAAATCAGGTGTTTATGCACATGAAATACATCTTATTCAACAAGAACTTGAAGCTCTTTTATCTATGTCTATGATACGTGAAAATATTCTTCATTCAATAAATTTTGATAATTTAAATTTAAAAATTCATCAACATCAACAAGCTGAATATATTTATTCATCTAAATGTATTCCAAAAAAATTCTTACCACCATTAATTAATCATCAACAACATCAACATAATGGTCCACATATATTACTTGATCGACAAGTATCAATGACATCAATAACAGATGCACATATTGATAAAATTTGGTCTGATATAAATACATATTATCGTCAAATATCATTAAATGATATATCGACAATTAAAAATTTTCTTGAATTTAATCAACAATTAAAAGAAAAAATTTTTAAATATAAAAATTATTATAAAAATAATAAATTAACTCAATTAAATATAATTGAACAATTAAATAAAGAAAATTTTCAAGATTTATTAAATTTAACACAAATTAATCCTATAATTACACATTATATAAATCGAACAGCTCTAGAACGTTTTCAAACAAAATTATATGAACAAGTACAACATACATCATCTATGAATAAAAATCAATTTTCTACAAAATCATTAAATTATGATTTTAATTCTAATTCATCATTACGATGTTCACCACGTTTACAACCAAATTATCGAACAGATCTTTTTTCTCAACTTAATGTAAGTGTATATGGACGAAACTGGTTTCTTTTTTTGGAGTTCATATCGTAAAGTCTATTCCGGAATTTTCAGATTTTTTTCTTGTATGGTTAAAGAAATATTCACTAATTACTTTTTTTTTTATTAATAGTCACCTAAAAGAGCCAACATTTTTACATATGCCGATGCTAAAAGAACTAATTCAAAAAACTAAATAGCGTCAAATGAAAGATGAATATTTTCTGTTTCATCAAAAATAGGCCATATATGAAATGTGTTGACATGAAACTTCATAAACATTCTTCATGACAAAATTACAAGTCAAATGTATAACTTTTGATTAATGAGAAAAACTCGATAGTATTAGAAAGACATAGTTCAATATAATGATCGAATATTATTTTGATTATACTTATTGAACTTAGAATATAATTTACAATTGAAAGATAGATTGAATAAAAGAATTGTTTCATGTTTTTATATTAATCGAGTGATTTTCTTAGAGAGCTGTCTAAAATGATTTAGTGACATGAATAAGAAAGAAACATTCATTTTGTTTGAAGCTTGCGCAAATAATCTCAAGATCATCCAGTTGACATCAAGGCAAAGCTAATGCTTAAAATAGCAGACAGACACATTACAAACATTTATTCTGGAAAGAAGATTTACTTATAATTAATGAAATTACTTTAAAAAATGTGCTTTTTTTCTAGCTTGAAGGTATTTGTCATAACATAGAAAAAAATAATAGTTCTCTAATAGATTTTTGTTTTTATTGTATAATATTGTAATTATCTAATAAACTAAAGGATATTTTTATAAGTTTATAATGTAAAAATATTATAATAACAAATTTCTTTTAGTTCAAATCAGATGATGATGATGATCATCGACAATCATCAATACTCAAACGCAAAAAGCAAACAAGATTTACATCGATGAATTCATCTTTATCAATAAAATTTCAAGAACATATTCAATTAGTTCATGATTATCTAACTAATCAACATTCATTTACAAATCAATATCTTAAACAACAATTCATTAATGATATTAAATTAAATAAAAAACGAAAAACTTCAATAATAAAACAACAATCTAAAGATATATTTGAATCAAAACTTTCAACATTAATATCATTATTACATGAATGTTCATCATTAAGTTTATATGCATTAAAACGTGCAAATTTACAATATAATAATGAACAAACATGGAAAAAATTAAATAAAATTGAATATGATCTTGATTTATTAATACAAGATATTGATAAATCTAATAATAGTAAAAATACAAAAAAAACATTTCAAACATTAGATCATTTATTAAAAGATTGGAAAAAATATGAATATGATTTCGATAATCAATTTGAACAATTATTTGATATTAATATTTAAAATGATTTTGGTTTTTTCCTTTTCTTGTTTCTATTTACCATCTTGCGTATATATATATATATATATATATATATGTATGTCGGTAACCAGAAGAAGAAAACAACGTATAGAAATATTTCTGCGAATGTTTATTTTCTAGTTGTGTTTAATTTTTAGGATTTTGTTTTTGTTTTTTGTTTTTTTTTGTAAATAATTCATAAATTCAACTTATGAAAAATATGTTCGATGATCTGTTATAAATATTATACACATACGTTTTTTTTTTGTTTTAGATTATAATTAAAAATAGTATATAAACTATTGTTGCTTGTCGTTATATAGATATATTAATAAATTGTGTAATACTCACGAGGGAAATCTGTCAACTGATTAAGCGCTTATATGTATTATGTGTAGGTTCTAATGACGCTATGAATACCCTGAAAAGAATTCGGCGCCCTAGATTATTACTACCGAGATATTACGATACTTTTTTTTTTGATACAATTCATTGTGGTCCCCGATCAATAACACTAGAAAAACTAATTTGTGAACTTCAATTCGAAACTTGACATAAAGATACATCCTTACGAGAATAGTTTATTCTGAAACTATCCGAAAATAAGAACATCGAATCTACAGTGTGTATAAGAAACGTAAGACATACTCTATTATCCATACAGACATATCTTAAGATATGAACAACGAAACTATTCTCATTAGGGTCTACTTATATGCAAAGTTTCGAATTACAATTCAAAAAAAAATCATTTTTTCTAATATTCTCGGAAGGATCATATTATTGAATTAAAAAATGCAGTATCTCAGCAGCACTAAGTTAAGAATCCGAACTCTTTTCAGGATATTCATAACTCATTATGGCCTATATGATAGACATAGTTTCAAATCAAAAGTGATTAATCATTTATAGAACTTCTCTCACGTTAGATTATTTAACAAAAAAATATCTATCTGTTTTAGATTTTTCTGTTTATTATCAACGAATTAATATTGGTAAGTCTTATAACAAAGTAAAAAAAAAAATCTACAGTATTTCCTAGTTCCATTTTAATATTTTTATTCTCATTCGAAATGAAATATGTCAAGTAGAAAAAAAAAGACGAGAATTGAATACAATTTCCGTATATGAATACAATCAATAATTGTTTATTTGTCTGTATACAATTGCAAGATTGTCTAGTCTAAAAATCTACTATTAATTTATCATTCACATTTATCTATTGGTTTTCAATTATATCTTTTTTTCGAGTTTGATAGAACGATATATATATATATATACCGTACATATTTTACCCTGAAAATTTGAGTAAATGTCTTCGTCATTTATTATGTACAAACTGTATTACATCATAGACAGATAAGAATTTTTGTCATTGAATTCAATGATGGTATTTAATCAATCAGACTTAAAGAATGACCTATTTTCATTTACAACGCTAAATCATTTTTTCTTCTTCGTTTCATTAATAATCATTGTCTTCTCTCCTTAACTTTTGACATTATTCAGACGACCTATTTTTCCCAAAAAAAAAAAAAAAAAAGAAGAGAACGATCATCTCTATTGACCCTCATCTCTCTCTCTTCCCTCATTCTTTTTTTTCTATACACATTCACATATATATATATATATATATGTATGTCGGTGTTGTAGCGACGAGAGTATGCACTCGCGCTATTCTCCTGCGCTCTTTTTTTTTTTGCCTATAGTATGAGTACGCATGAATCAGTAGACATTCATTCTCTTTTCATTCTTTTTTTTTTTTGCTTGCAAACGAGTAAAGTTAGGGCATTGATTGTATGTGTGCATTGATAGATCATTGCCTTGTATCAAATTTTTCTTTTTAGAATGATGATATATTAAAAAAAAAAAGAAAAAACTATGGCCGAAAATCAAAATAATTCATCTTCAAAACGGTATAATTCAATTAATAATGAACAAAATAGAACAAATTCTAATCATGAACAACTTATTCCAATTTCAATTGAATATTTATCAACACCAATAACAATTTCAAATAAACGATGTCGTCGTTCTTCAATAACAAATGAACAATCTGTATCAACACAATTATGTTCAAATACTCAAGATTTTATTTATGATAGAAATCTTACTATGACACCTATTATAGGAACTCGAAAACGATCAGCACAAGATGATCTAGTCGCTTTTACAACGCATCAATTTCTTCAAGAACATGAACAATATGTAAGAAATATTTATTTTCATCTATTAAAAGAAAAAAAAAAACATCATGATAAAACTAATGAGAATTATTATTTATAGTTTAAAAAGTTAGACAGATAAAATAGTACATAATCGATTCATTTCTATATTTAAAAAATTTCAATATGTTATATTAAAATTAACGAAATCAATCAGTTCAAATTCATTCACTTAGAAAAAAAAAACAAAAAAAAAATTTCTAAATAATTCATTTTCTAGACGCATAAACGAGCTCGATATGAAAATTCGAATAGTATTGAATTAGAAAATCAACCACCACGTTTAACTAATAAACGTCGATCTTTATTCTTTCATCAACAACAACAACAACAACAACAGCAAGAAGATCATTTATCATCAACATGGAATAATCATCAGACTACAAATGATATATCATTATTTTTTAATGATATTCCTTCATCATTATCACATCCAACAATAACAACATATCATCGAATAAATAGTGTGCCTAATCATGAACATAATTTATCTGATCAATATTCATCATTATTAACTGAACAACATCATCATCATCATTCATCAATTTTTCATAATAATAATAATTCATTAATAACATCGAATCAAAAAAGTAAATTAAACTTCTTTTTTTTTTCTTATTTTTTAAAACAAAAATCATTTTGTCTTTTGTTAGGTACTATACCAAAATCTTCAAAAACTAATATACGTTTATTATCACCTCAATTAAATAGTTCTAGTCCATTACGTACAACAAATTTTCTATTTGATAATAAACAACAAACAATTATTCGTACAGGAAATATATCACCAGCACATTCAGATTCATCAAGTGAATCAACATCAACATGTTCATCGGATGAACAATTACATCATCATCATTATCATATTTATCAACCACAACCATGGCGTACATATCGTGAACGTGAAAATTATGAACAATTATTAGATCTTGCAGAAAAATTATCTGATCCAAATCGTTTTAATAAAGTTGATATACAACAATTTTTTTCTTATCGTTATAAAATACCAACAATATCATCTAAACAAACAGCTTGTGTTATTTGTATGTCACATTTTAAAAATGGACAACATATTCGTGTACTTCCATGTCAACATGAATATCATTCAAAATGTATTGCACGTTGGTTTGCAATGAATTCATCATGTCCAATTTGTCGTCGAGATAATTTTCTATCTTCTTGCTGATATATATATATATATATATATATATATGTATATTTAATTGCACATATCATTTATGAATTTAGATAGATATATTTCGTTGTGTGCAACAGTAAAAATCTTATATTCAATGTCTACGTGTATATTTTTACGATGTTCAGCAAGCAAAAACACATATATATATATATATAGGCATTCTTTTCTGTATTTGTCTTGTCTTCCTTATTTTACATTCTTTTCATCATTTCTATATGAATATTCTCTTTTGTTTGTATGTATGTAAGACAAGTATCTTTTGTGAGAGAATTAACTATCAGTTCTATAATGTTAGGTTACTGTGTATTCTTTCTATTTAGTTTTTTTTTTTTTTTTTTGTTTCAAAAAGAGAAGAAAAAAAAAAGTAATAGACAAGTATACAAAAGATTATATTTTTTTTTCTTCTTCTTTTTCTTATTGGTGCGTGAAAAGAAATGGGTCATACATAGACAGATGCTCACATTTTTTTTTTTTTCAACCTCCGGATAGAAAGTAAACCATTGAAGCTTACACATATGAGAGTGATCAATTATCATTTTTGTGAGTTACAACTAGCTTGACAGTAGTGGTCATGCATCTTATCTAGTCCGACACGAGTGAGAGAAAAAAAAAAGAACTGAAGAAGTGTTCGTGCATGCGCGCATGTGTATTGCGACTGGGCGATTTCAATGGGATGTCGACCGCCATCATATAAATAACAAGTAAAAGATAGCATAGTTCCATTTTCCATTGCCTTGTGAAAAAAAAACCAAGAGAGAGAGAAAGAGAAAAAAAAAAGTGACAGAACGAAAGAGCAAACTGTATAATTAAGAGAAAGACGAGACGTCGAGAGCATCTCTTTCTTTCTTTTTCTTTCTCCCGCATTTGTTCGTTCAGAACGAACAAATGTCTATTCTCTTCATCTATAGAGAAAGCATACAATGCATATACAGTTGTCGTGACGAAGTGGGTCTACTTTTTTTTCCTTTATTTGAAATGAATAAATACAATGTACATTCAATATGACGATTATGTTTTTTTGTTTTTTTTTTTTTTTTATTTTTTTAGTTTTTAGATCATGATGACAGTAACAGAAAGTACTGCTAATACAATGTCTCAATCTATTGGTAAGTTGCAAAAAAAAACAAAAAACAATTATATCTTAAAATTTCTGTTTTTTTAGATTATAATAATTATGCAGTGAATCGTTCATATCCAACAACGACATATGATTATCGTCATGACGATTCTTGGGAGAAACCAAACTATGCAACATTTCATCATCAATCATCATTATTTTCAACCGGTGGTATTCCATCAATAAATAAATTTTATCATCCATCTTTTGATACAATTCCGAATCTCAATAATACAAATCCAAATTTTTATCGACGTCATAGTATGTTTAGAAATATTATATAACATTTATGTTTTTTTTTTTTCTTTCTTTCTTTCTTTCTTTTATAGCTGAATCAACCTTACAGACATCGACTTCGATCTATTCGCCGTCTACATCTAATCCTCCTTCAAATGTTCCATTTAATTATTCAAATCATCCATCGGGATTATTTTTTGGTTGGAATAATGGATCATCTTTAATGCGTACACAGAGTGCTTCATATCAAGATTATTCTGGATCAAGTATGTTTTGTTTTTGTTTTTTTATTTATATTAAATCAATAATAATTACTATAATGAATTTTATACGAATTGATTAGAATTATAATCTAACAATGAGTTAGAAGTTATGTAAAGAATTTTTCTTGAATTAATTTTATATTTAAGTAAATGATTTGAAGAGTTAATACGCTATTTTAATCAAATTAATATATGAGAGTATATTCTTGTATAGCAAAAATTGAGTAGAAGAAAAACTACAGCTACTAGATACGAGTGGAATCAGTTGTTTTTGATCTCGGGTTTGTCGAATCTATATAGAATACATGAATCGTGACAATAAAGCATTTGATCCATGTTTTACGTGACAATAAAACATATCGTTCCCATTAAAAAAGCGTTGGTTCTGGTTCTGCTCCCAGCCATAAAAAAATTTCATCTCAGTCTCAGCCAAAGAAAAAATTGTTTCTGGTGCCATCGAAAAGAAAACTTTGGTTGTAATACCATCCGAAAAAGGTTTCGTCGCGGTTTCGGTCAACAAAAAAAATTTGATCCTACTCCCGACCAAAGGAAAAGTTAGTTTCAGTGCCACCCAAAAAAATCTTTGGTTCCGGTGCCACCCAGAAAAAAAATCTTTAGTCCCGGCGTCGTCCAAAACAAGTTTCGTCACGATTCCAGCCAATAAAATTTGCTTCAGTCCCGTCATGCTTGGCACCATCTTGTCTGTATCTAATTGTTACTCTTCTTTTTTCTGTTTCAGCTTCATATCCATCTTATAATCCGATGAGTACATCATCTTCACAATTAACAACAAATGATAAATCTACTGTCAATACTCGAGTACCACAAATGGCATCGAATAATCCTTATCCATCGTTTTATAATATAATACCATCAATAAATTTTTCATTACCTCCTCCACCACCATCCATTTCGAATCAAACAATATCACAAACATCAAAAATTTCTGTTCCGTCCAAAAAAAGCAAACGTCCACGTCTAACTGCTCATATTCGTAATGAAATTCTTAAACTTAAAGAAAATAAACCGACTATATTCGTATGGGAAATTCAACAAAATTTATTACAAAATGGTATTTGTACTGCACAAACATTACCAACTGTAAGTTCTTCTTTTTTTTTTTATAATTTATCGATTTTTAAATTTCAATGTTTTTTCTTTCATTCATTAGGCAACAGTTATTCAACGAGTTCTTAATAAATCGTCGAAAAACAGTGTAACTATTAAAGAAGAACCAAAATTAAATGTTAATTTACCAACAATATTAAATAGTGCATCATCAGTAACAATATGTTTATCACCATCACCTTCACCAACATTATCTCATAGTGAAACTATTTCTGAATGTTCAATTTGTCTTGAATCATATCGTAGTGGTCAAGAAGTTAGTATATTGGCTTGTTCACATGAATATCATTCATCATGTATTGGTGAATGGATGTTAAAAAATCGTTCATGTCCAATGTGTCGAAAAGATATTCACAATCAACCACAATTTGTTACACTTTTGATTTGAATTATTTTTTGTTTTTTTTTGTGTTTATTGTAAATACGAAAAAAAAAGATTTTTCAAAAGACAATATTCTCTAACAATACACACACATACAATTATGTGATTGAAATAAAAAGAAATATTGTTTATTGCTTATGTTTTTCTATAGAAAGAAAGAAAGAAAAAAAAACACCCCAATAATAAAAAATTTTGTATTTGTTTATGAAATTCAGATAAATAAATATGACTGATAATAATGCACGACGTGAAGAAATTGAAAAATTTCAAGCAAAACGACGACGAATTGTAAGAAATAATATGAGTTTATTAATTAAAATTACAAAATCTTCAATTTAATAGGAACAGTCCGAATCTGAAGATGAATTTAAACTAGATGATGATGTTGAATTACAGACAGCAAATAAAAATAGAGGTGAAAATACTTATGTACCATTGAAAGAACGACGTCAAAGACAAGTAAGCTTTTTTTTCTATTGTATCTTATCAAACTTAGTCAAACGACTAACGAAATTTAAAATAAGAATTATTTCTAAAGAAGATAATCGAAATCTATAAACTGACGAGAGAACTTCTCCAAATGTCAAATCACTTTTCGACCAAGGCGATATTTATTTGATGAGTACTAATGAATAATAGAAAAATCTAGAATAATTTCGTTTTCTGAGTCTTCATTCTTGAGATATCAAAATTTTATTACCTTTTCATTGAAAATCTCAATAAAATTTCAATATCGAAAGAATAAAGGCTCGAAAAATCAAACAATTCCAGACTTTTCTATTATTCACTAACATTCTTCAAATGAATATCATTTTGGTCGAAAAGCGATTTAATATCTAAAAGTAGGAATATGCTCAGAAACTTATCGATGCTGTCTGATATAATTCCCATTGATTAAGCAAAATGTAATTACACTTTGAAGTATTGCGTGTATGACAGCCATATTTATTTCGAATAGGGACAGGGTATTTCAAAAATCATTATACAAAAAAAGAATTTGAATTCCTTACTTATAATTCTATCGTCTGAACTGATTTTTGTATTGAATAATGGAAAATAGTAAAATATGAAAAGAATTTTCAGTAGTTACCAAAACATTACGGAAATTTTTATAATTTCTTTATCTTTAATGCATAAAAATTAAAAAAATAAATCTATAGAAATAGAGAATCCTCTAATGTGGTTGATCTTCCATCGAAATCGATGGTTCGTACGGTTTTCTCATTTTTTTAAAATTTCGCTGCTAAATTATTATTATTTTTAATCTTGAAAAAGTCGATTGCAAGTCAAAAAAAGTCCATATTAATGCTGCACCATAGTTATTTTTGTGGCGCCACCTTTAATAAAAAAACCAAACTCGAACACTAAGCGAATTTAGCTCATGTGACTGGAACCGGCGGCTTCAGCGCACTGTCATTTAGAAGAAAATACAATTTCAACTAAAATCTAATAATTTTGTAAGAGTTAAAAAATATTCATGCGATTTGAATGACATGGACTACCACCAAAACAATGAGGATTTTCAGAAGGGCTACTATCAATTTCATTGTGATTTTTGACTAAACAGTGGGATACATGTAGGTTGGTAGAAGAGGACTTCCTCTATCTAATGGTATATGTATAATCAAATTCTGTCGTGTACCGTTGTTGTTGATAGATGCAGCCACATTCGCTGCATGGTCCGCGAATGTGGCGTCATCCATCAACAACAATGGTACATGACAGAATTTGATTATACATATACCATTAGATAGAGGAAGTCTTCTACAAACATACATAGATCGTATTGTCTAGTTAAATCCTTATAGTCACCTTTCACTAAGTACGAAAAGATGACTGTAAATTTTTTGATGATTGTTGACTACAAAACGGGATAGATATAGGCTTGTAAAGATAGACTTTGTCGATCTGGTAGTCAATGTATTATCAGGGTCCGCTACTTGCCGTTGATCTACTAATAGGTGGCACTACCTATTGGTAAATCAACGGTACGCAGTAGAACCTGATAATCAGCGGTCCCATGTGATAAAAACTGGTGGTTAACCGCCTGTTTTGATAAATACTACGGTTTACCTCTAAAATGAACCGGTTCGCTAATGATCATTGACATTTAGTTGCTCCAAATCATCGATTTTGCTATTTTAAATGTTTTTTTTCTTCTACCTTCCCTTGTCATAAAAATGCTCGGAAAAATCGCCGGTTTACCGCGGTTTTATCGATCCGGTTACTAGCTCTCGTCACTGTAATTTATCGCGGTTTACCGCTGAAAACTGTCCGGTATTACGATATGAGGCGCGTAACCAAGGGTGGGGCAAATGGGAAATTGTTCATTGTAATTTTACTTTTTCACAATTGTTTATCTGTTTTTGAGTTAGATAGTAATTGTATGTTTTTTTCTTCCGCCTGAATCACTCATGCACTCATTGCTTGTTCTTTTTTGTGAAGAATGGAGAAAAGAATTACTTCTTATATTTTATCAACAGAAGCTGTTGAAAGAAGTTTCAGTCAATTATCGAGAATTAAAAGCTATTGTCAATCGACAATGAAAGAAAATAGGCTAAACAGATTTGCTGCTGCATACATTCATAAAGATCTCGATATAAATTCAGATGGAATATTGAAATTATATACATAAATGCATCATTGTTGTCTTGATTTTGATGTTTGAATTTGAAATATTAATATTATAAACAGAGACATTAAAAACACACCTGATCGAGGCCAAAAAATTTTTGGCCTATCAATAAAAATCTTGCCCATAGTTTTTTCCGGCATAAGAAAAGTTTGCTCATTTGTCTAAAAATTCTGGTTATGCCGTTGAAATATACTATAAAATTATACATTTGTTTTTAGTTACAACGTGTTCTGGGCGGTATAAATGCTAGTCATTTAAATGTGGATAATACAGATAATCCTTTCTCATCGGATATGACACATGCACAACCGATTGCTGAAGAAATAACTGTTGGACCACAAGCTAATTTTACATTACTTGATCAAATGAGTGAATTAAAAAAAAATCAAAGTAAAAATACGAACAAAAAAATTTATTTAAAAGATTTAATTCTATTCGTATTAATTTTATTAGATTCATCTGATCAAACAAGTACAGATAAAATACTTGAAGAAGAAGAACGAATTCTTCAAAATGTCGTTGAAACAAAAGGTAAAATATATATCTATATTCTATCTTCATATATATATATAAGGCAAGACAGAAGAAAGTTTACTATCTCGAGATACACATAGTTTAATTGTGCTCATATAATATAAATTTATTTTATATTTAGCTTTAATGGGTGTAGCTGAATTAGCCAAAGGTATTGAATATACAGAACCAATTCGAACAAGGTAAGAAATAAAAAAAAACAAAACGAATAAAAAAATGTTTGAAAAATATTCTTTATCTTTAGTTGGCGACCACCACGAGTTATTCTTCGAATGCCCGAATCACGTCATCAACGTATTCGACAAATCTATAATATCAATGTAGAAGGTGATGATATTCCACCACCATTATGTCGATTTGAAGTTTGTGCCATTGGTTTTTTCTTTTTTATATTTATTAATAATTATAATATTATATTTAGGATATGAAATTATCAATAGGTGTTTTAAATGCATTAAAAGAAAAACAGATTATGCGACCTACACCTATACAAATGCAAGGCATTCCATCAGTGTAGGAATTTTTTTATTTTGTTTGATTAATTAGAATTTAAAAAAAAAAACATTTTTCTTTTTAGTTTATCTGGTCGAGATCTTATTGGTATTGCTTATACTGGAAGTGGAAAAACTTTAGTTTTTGTTATACCTATTATTCTATTTTGTATTGAACAAGAAAAAGCAATGCCATTTATACGTAATGAAGGACCTTATGGTCTTATTATTTGTCCATCGGTAAAGATTTCTAATAGAAGAATATTAGATTTTAATTTAAAAAAAAAACAAATATTTTCCAAACTAAAGATCAAAATCTATTTTGCATATAGAACAAGAGAACATATTCAACTGTCGGATGTCGTTCGACTTCATATTATGGCTACGAGTAATTTCTTAGTCTGACCGGGATTATGCTTCTAGTCATAATGCGAAGTCGAACGATGTCCGACACGTGAATATCTTTCTTTGTGAAATAATTTTTTATTTGATTTTTCTTGAGAATAACATGAAAGATCTGAAGACAAAAAAGAAATTATTATAGACAATGAATAAACAGAATGTTACTAATTTTATAATTTTTTTTTGTGGCAATGCTTAAAGCTATTAACCTTGATAATTCTGTAGAAAGAGTACTTTGTTTATAGAATTTAATAATGAATTAAATTGTTATTTTGACCTAAATGAAGCTATAAGCATTTTTCTACGCATTAATTACTCTTTCGTGAAAAGTCAATTTGAAAGATAAAAAAAAACCTAGGTGTCTTATCCATAGACGAACAAGAACTCAATAAGTACATTTTGTTCTATGAATTGATAGAAAAAAACAAACGTGTTCAAGTTTGATAATGTGCGAAAAATAAAATTAATTTTTCATATTTTTCAAAGATTCTCTTATTATTATGCTCGTGCAAAAAAAAACACAGAAAGAAAATTTCTCAGTGAAAGGCACATAATTCCGATTCTAACCTATAATATGTTATGTTTTTCAGATAGGACTTCTTTAATCATTCGAGAGATTTAATGATTGAGAGCTTTTCGATTGAATTTTGTTTAATATTCTAATAAATATTTTTTAGCGTGAATTGGCACGTCAAACTCAAATGGTCATATCAAATATTTGTGAACACGTACAAAAAGCTGGTATGTTATATTTTACTTTATTTTTGAAATTTTTTTTTTTTAATTTCAAATTTAGGATTACCATTATTACGAACAATAGCATGTGTTGGTGGTACAGCTATGAAAGATCAATTAGAAACAATAAAAAAGTAAAAAGAAAAAAACAATAGAATTTTTCTTTATTTTTTTGGTTTGTTTTATTTTAGTGGTGTACATATTATTGTAGCAACACCTGGACGTTTAATGGATATGCTTGATAAGAAATTACTCTTTTTAGATGTTTGTCGATATTTATGTTTGGATGAAGCTGATCGAATGATTGATCTTGGTTTTGAAGAAGATGTTCGAAATATAATATCACATTTTAAAGTAAATAATAATTCTTTTTTTTTAAATCTATTTTATATATGTTTAATTAGGCACAACGACAAACATTACTATTTTCAGCAACAATGCCAAAAAAAATACAAAATTTTGCTAAAAGTGCATTAGTTAAACCAATAACAATTAATGTTGGTCGAGCAGGTATTATTATTATTATTTGAGATATTTAGTTATAATTGAAATTTTTTAAGGTGCTGCTAGTTTGGATGTTAAACAAGAAGTTGAATATGCTATGCCAGAAGCACGAATTATGTCATTATTATTAGCATTACAAAAGACTGCACCACCAGTAAATTTTTTTGATTAAGAAAATAAAATTCTTTTTTTTTCTTAAATTTTTTTCTGTAAATAGGTTTTGATTTTTGCTCAACGTAAACAAGATGTTGATGCTATCCATGAATATTTATTATTGAAAGGTGTTGAAACTGTTGCAATACATGGTGGAAAAGGTATAATTAATATGATTAATTATTCTTTTTTCTTCTTAGTAGACATTTTTTTAAGGTTGTTATTCAGGGTAGATTTCCGTTTTGTCGAAAAATTAAATTATAATGAAAAAGAGTATAATCAGAGTAACAAGCTCAATTTCTTTGATTGACTTAAACTATTTCCTTAACAAGATACTAATTGATATCCCTATACTAGTAATCTGTAATTTTGCAAACGTATATGTGGAGGAAATTATTATGATTTTAAAAGTTTAAAGACTAATAATCATATCGAAGAATGGCATCATCGATTAAACAATGATTTAAATACTGTTATACATCCACATTTTGTATCTATTCATTCGTGCAATTCAAAATGATTAGGCGTATAATTTAGCAATATCATCACGTCATTTAGTAATCGGTATATCATCTCCACGAAAAAAGTTATTTGTAAATCGAAATGCACGATTACATAATTTAGAAGAATGTTTTAAACAACAAACATTAACATTGAAGAAATATCTTGAGAAATTTATGCGACTAATTGGAATAAAAAACGTATTGACTTTTTTTCTTTTCTATACTCATATTTTCTCTTAATAATTTCGTATTAATGTATCTAAATCTGCTATATAATAATTGTTTTTTTGACAAATTTATCTACAAGTAATTAGGCATTATTTCTGGTTAGTATGACGAAAAAATCTCATCGAATGATAATCTATTCTTCATTGATTAATTAGAATTTATTTTTTCGATGAAACGGGAATTAACCACTTGAAGGATCCCTTTTGGGATTATGGTCGTTATATTGGATTTTTTTATATTTGTAAACTTCAAGAAGAGGTAGTGCATTGTGAAGAATCCTTCTAGTCTCGACAGATCCTACCCAATGACTGAGGTTTCATCTGAAACGCAAGGTGTTCCCTCGTGAGATCACAATGACTCTGATTTTCACTCCCGTTTCTCAAAGATGCGATGTTTGATCGAGTTGAAACCTCTTTTATAGCTACTAGATATTATTTGCGGTGGGTATCTTTTTACTTTTTTATCCTTTTTTCAATAGAGCTACCAAAAATCAGCAGAACAATATTTTTTGAAACGCAAAAAAATATACCCATCCTAAATGGTGTATAGTTTATGTGAAAAAAGTTTTAGCTCACTCGGATATACTAGATCGAAGGAATGAGAAACGTTGCTATACTCTTTTTTTATGCAAAAATTGGTTTGAGAAAAACGCAAAACAATGTATAGCTTTAGCCTGTTTCTATTACCTAAAGGATGCTATTGGATTAGATGACCTATTCAGAATTGAGAAACCAAATATACCTTGTTGTAGAAAAACTCTCGGTCCGTCAAATACTATCTACTAAATCCTATTTTTCATAAGACTTTGAAGGAGCTAGAATCCATTTACAAATTTTTCTTATATGCAGATTTATAGAGCTTTTCACGTACTACAAATTCATATACTCAACATCTCCCATCATCCTCTCTTCGATAGGAAAAAATGTAATTTTTCAATGATTTACCACTATTTTTCACTAATGGTAAGTCTTCATAGCTTCAATAGTGTCGACGATAGAAGATGCGACTAGACGTCAAAGTTTCTCAGAAGTTGTCCGCGATGCGTAGCACCACAAAACACACTATCTGGAAGTTCTTCAAGATGAGTATGTGATGTCCTAAGCATCCTTGCATTGAGAAATCTTAAGTAATTTTACACTAATTTTCTTCTTTTAATACTGCATTTTGATTATTAAAAGTTAATTCTTGTGCAAAATAAACATGATACTCAGAATCAGCATAACAGTCATTGACCAATAAAAAAAATGTTGAGGAGGAGTACCGGTCGAATTTCGGTGGAAAAAATATTTAGTTAAAATATAAGCTATTCAATATAGTTTATCATGCTGCTTCTGAATATCTTGTTTATTTCATACTAAAATCGACTTTTGAAAGTCAAAATACAGTATCAAAAGAAGAAAATTGATGTAAAAATTAGTTCAGATTTCTCGATACAAGGATATTTTGGGCATCACACACTCGTCTTTTAGAACTTTCAAATAGTGTATTTTGTAGTACAACATCGGAGGGTAACTTCTGATAAAGTTTAACGTCTAGTCATATCTTCTATCGTCAACACTATGAAGACATGGAGACTCATCATTAGTGAAAAATAGTGGTAAATCATTAAAAAATTGCATTTCGTTCTATTCAATATAGTATGATCGCAGATGTTAAGTGTATGAGCTTGTAACTCATGAAAAGCTTCTACAAAAATGTATATGAGAAAAATTTGTAAATTGACTCTAGTTTCTTCAAAGCTTTATGAAAACAAGATTCGACGGTGACAAAAAACTGAAAATCTTGGGTCACAAAAGGAAGAGAGGTACTCATAAAAAAACTAATTATTCTTTTTAAACAAGATATGAGATTTTTTTTTTAACTAATATAATTTTCTTTTTATTTAGATCAAGAAGAACGTTTCTATGCATTAGAAAAATTTGTTAAAGGTGAAAAAGATGTTCTTTGTGCAACTGATGTTGCATCAAAAGGTTTAGATTTTCCTGAGATTCAACATGTTATTAATTATGATTTACCAGAAGATATTGAAAATTATGGTAAAAAAAGTATTTCTTCTATTGTTTATTAATTGATTTTCTATTTTTTTAATAGTTCATCGAATTGGTCGAACAGGTCGTTGTGGACGACAAGGTCTTGCAACAACTTTTATTAATAAAACATGTGGTAAATAATCAAAAATTTATATTTATTATCTTTTATTTATGAATTGTTTTCATAGATGAAGCTCTTCTACTTGATCTTAAACATCTATTAATTGAAGCTAGACAAATCGTTCCATCATTTTTACTTCGACTTGAATCGGATAAAGAACATTTACTTGATATTGGTGGTAAGATTCTTTTTTTTTTATTTTACTGAATTTTTTCTATTTCAAAAATTTGTTTTCTTCAGATGAACCTGGTTGTTCATATTGTAATGGTCTTGGTCATCGTATAACAAATTGTCCTAAACTTGAATCTCAACATAATAAGACAGCAATTAATATGAAAAAGAATGATTTTTTAGCAAAAGGAAATTCAGATTGGTGATCAGTTTTTTTGTATTCAATAAAAATAACTATATATATATCTATACAAAGAAATATATATTTTAATAAAATAAAATAATTATTTCAGATAGAAAAACAAAATGTCGAAAGAATCTATTCCTCAACATAATGCTCGAGCTCTTGAAGAAGAACAAAAACATGTAGCTAATAAGCTTGCTGAACATGATACAATTCGTCGTTGTGATGCTGAAGCAACAGCAACAGCACTTAAACATGAACAAAAAATTGCAACAAAAAATCTTGAACATACAGATGATCAAGCAAAACAAAATGCAAAAAATCTTAAAGATGAGGCAAAAGCTAATGCAGAAAAATTAAAATTATAAAAAATAAGATTCTTTTTTTTTTTTATAAACATTCCAGCTGAGTAATTCTCTTTTTTTATAAATATTCTAGCTGAGTAATTTTGTTTTTTTTTTTTGGTGTTGTTGGATTGTCTATGCTTGAAATATATAAAATAAAATGTTTAATGTCAATTTCCTTATGAAATGTAAAGAATAATTTAATGATCTTAACCATGCGAAGAAAAAGGTTTTTTTTCTTTGTAGTGATTTATACCGGAAAGACTAATGGATAACAACGGAAAGACATTTTTTGGAGAATATAAATATTATCTCACTTCTTTCTTTTTTTTTGTTCGTTATTTTATTAGTTGTTATTTGACTAGTAGCCAAATCTTTATATTGTCAATAATATAGGTAAGTCGAAATCAGGCTTGCCAAATCTCCTGATTTTATTTTTTTTTTAATTACTGAATGATTAGCAACAAATTGAATCAGTGCAGACTTCAAAGAGAAAAGAAGTTTTAATTTTTTAATGAATGTAATGTTAATATTCAATAAGATAATGCATTTCTTTTCGTTTTCTTTCCTAACATGAAATCTTAATTAAATAAAATTATTTGTAGAACATTTGTTTTCAATATATTATTCACAAGTAGATGATATTACTTTTGATTATGATATTTCTTAATTTGGATATATATCTTTATATATTTCGTATATCCAAATAGATAGTAACGATATGAATATGGAAATAAACATTATGAAATGAATTACCTTGCTTTATTTATTTTATTTATAAGAGATTTTTTTCCTTTAACGACATAATAAATTCAGTCGATTTAGAAATAGCACTATGTGGACTAGCGAAAACTTGCATTTTGTTAGATAAAACCCATCAAGAGACTCCTGATTTTAGAAATTATGATTTGAGATCCCTGGTCGCAATAGTCTGAAAGTAAATTGACAAAAAGAAAGAGGGAGATGAAGATGATTGTCTTTTTCCGCTTCGATCGTCAGTTACTTATACACATCATATTCAATTCTTACTTTCTCTTTCTGATTGTGAAACCAATTGTATTGTCATCAATCGGATCGGATTATATACGTTTCAATAGACACACTATATGACAAGGAAAAACGAATGACATTTCAATTTTCTATTTTTAAAGAAAACAAAAAAAAAAAAGAAGAAATCATCAATGTGAAATATTTCATCTGTTTTTATCATCAGATCTATAATATATATATATATAAATGGTTAGCGTTGATATTTTATATTGATTATGATCTTTTTTTTTTAAAGTTTTGTCATCTCTTAACAATGATAAGTTCTTTGTAATTAGTCACTTCTTTTTTCTATTGATAGGCATAGCGCTAACATGTAGAGACCCTAAAGGAATGCAATGCTAATTTTACTTTGATCATTTCAGCGGAATAACTGACGGTGACAACGACAAGCAAGAGCAAAGCAAATTACATTGCTTTAACACCTCATTTTGTCTCTTTATCATCATCGAATAGTTGAGATTGCCTTTTTTTTTTTCTTTATCATTTCATAGACGAATATCATCATGCTAGAATGATCATTGATATATAAGCACGAAACTTGTCTGTCGGTACTTGTGAACAAAGAATCTATATATATATATATATATATATACATGTGTAAGAGGCGTTAATCAAATAGAAATGAAGCTAATTATTATCTTTAGACCAAGTGGAAATAATAATTCCAACCTGCTGTGATTGATCGATGATATAGAATATATTTCTTTCTTTTTCCGATCATTTAAAATAAACTTGTTTATGGCGTCAAATTTTCAAGGGACGATGTATCATCTAGTTTACCTGCTGATTATAATGATAATTTGTTGACATATTAATAAATATCCAAAAAAAAAAAATGAGCCGATACACAATCTTTAAAACATATTTTGTAATCATGATTATTCTCTCTCTTCCCTCCCCGCGCTTTCTCAAAATCCATTACTAAAGTTAAGGTGATTTAATATTATACTTTTGATGTGTATTGTTATTCTATTCTAATCATATAATGAAATAAATTTTCTATAGACGTCTATTCATATGCGACAATAACAAACGGATTCTCTCTTTTTTTTTTTTTTAATTAAAATTCTAGGCGTCTTATGTTATGTTTCGTGTCCGAAAATAACAAGCAAAAATACATCAATAATTTGATACCAACTTGCCAATGTTGCAAGATTTTTTCAAGCAGAAATTATGAGACGATAATGATTGTCCTTGTTTCTATGAAAAGAATTGTGTCGCTCTTATTGACCAATGTCCTTGTCCAACTAAATGTGTAATCAAGCATAGTTTTCTCTCTCTCTCTCTCTCTTGGTGGTCAAGAATAAATCTTGATTTTGATTTCAATCATCAAGATATTCGAGAAAAAAATTCAGGTAGCAGAAGAAAAAAAAAAAATTGATGAACTAAAAATAACCAACCAATGATTAAACGACCCGAGAGGAAAAAGAAATCAGTCAACCAATCGTTAATTTGTTCTCTTCTTTCTTCGCCTACTTGATTGCAACAAAGTGCCTCGGTGTTGTGTCGTGGGTATGGGTAATGACAGAATGTAGCTGAAGAAAAAAAAAAAAAAAGAAGGTAGCCAGTCAAAAAAAGAGAACAAGTATATTCATTCGAGCAGAAAAATAGATGCAGAAAGAGAGAAAAAGACCGACAAACAATCGGATTTGCTGCCGGTGAACTCGCTTATGCCATTCTTTTTCTCTATGTCTCTCTCTCTCTCTCTGTCTCTCTTTCTTATCCTTTCCCGATCTATTTCTTTTTTTTCCTAGTCGTTATACGCTTGCCCGATTTTTCTTTAGTTTATGTGTTTTGTTTCGATGCTTTCAGTTGTAAGCGCATAAATCGAGCGTTCACACGAGGCTAACTAACCGAATCCGTGCGAGCGCTGTCCGCCCGCCCGCGCGCCCGTATATGTTTGTGTGATCCGAAACAAGTTCCAACTCACTGAACTGTAAGTTGTTACTAATATTCTCGATCAGAAAAAAAAAAAGAAAAGAAGACTGAGAAGAATAAGAAAGAGAAGAACAGAATGTAGTTTTTTTTTTGAAAAAAAAAAATAATAAAACAACAAAAGACAAAATATTAATATCAGATTTAAGCCTTTTTCTCAGTACACTTAAATGATTGATAAAATCATGACAAGGTATACTTTTCATATATTAACATGTTGCTGTTCGTTTATTTTTTTTTTTTTATTTCATTCGTTTTCTTTTTTTTATTCCAGTTCGTTTAACCAATGGATATTCATGATGATCTTTCAATGTCACATAAAGGTAAATTTATTAATATATTCTCTGTTGTTTTGATAAGAAATTAAATAGTGATCGATCATCACCGAAGGATATTACTTTTTCTTTTTTTTTCAATTATAAAATTTTCAAATTTTTATAGGACATTCAGGAGTTAATCAACTTGGAGGTTTATTTGTTAATGGTCGACCATTACCTGATACTACTCGAACACGTATCGTTGAACTTGCTCATAATGGTATGCGTCCATGTGATATAAGTCGTATGTTACAAGTATCAAATGGTTGTGTTTCAAAAATCTTAGCACGTTATTATGAAACGGGTTCAATAAAACCACGTGCTATTGGAGGTTCAAAACCGCGTGTAGCTACATCGGATGTTGTTACAAGAATTGCTCAATATAAACGTGAAACACCATCAATATTTGCATGGGAAATACGTGATCGTCTTCTAACAGATAATATTTGTAATCCAGAAAATATACCAAGTGTATGTTTTGATTTGTTTTGTTTTATTTTTAAACGAAAAACAAAAAAAATTCTTATTTTAATATAGGTATCATCAATAAATCGAGTACTTCGAAATCTTGGTTCAAAATCATTAGAATCAATGACTAATCATGAAACATATTATTCAGTTGATAATAAATTACGTGTTTTACATAGTCAACCATGGTCATCATCATTTTATACTCATCAACCATCATCAAGTATTTATTCACATAGTGGTGATTCAAATTCTGAATATAAACATCAAACAACCGATACTAATCGTGGTGCACATCATGATTTAGAAGGTAAAAATACTCAATATTTTATTTTTGATATAATGAAGTCACAGATGTAGAAATACATAGACCACCTGTTGATATTGATCGGTTAGTTAGAGAACAATTAGAATTAACTGCTGATGCCCTCAAGTCATATTATCGAAACAAAAAAAAAAAAAAAAAATGAATTTCTTTTCTTAATGATTGATAAATCAAAATAAATGATCAGACGGTCGTCAAGGCGGAGTTATTCTTATTCTGATCATAAAAAATAACAACAATAACAGCATGAATTTCTTCGTTTTTTTTTTTTTTACTTTGACATCAATGTTTTTCTTTTTTTATCTATATACTAATTAAGAAAAATATATATTCACAGTAGGATGAACGGAAATTATGTTTTAAATCTAATTGGATGTTTCGCTTATCTTAAAAACAATAATAAACTTTTCATTTATTGATTCATGAACATATGCACAAGAAAAAAAAAAAAATTTTTTTGAATCTAAAAACTTCTTTTTTTTTTTTCTTCATTCTGCTTTGCTGAACTCATATCGTTATTTCACATTTTTTTTTCTCGTCTATTTTACAGATGTTCTCTCTCTCTCTGTCATGTTATTCCACATCGTTGATAACATTCTATTCTGTCATTCAATTGTAATGAAATTGCAGACAAAAGAAGAAGAAGAAAAAAAAAATAGATTTTTGAAATATTAATCTCTTGATGTTTGCATAAGACGAAAAAAAGATGTATATATCATGATTTCGGCATCTAATTGAATATGTTCTTTTTTACGTCTTCATAAATGATGATAAGAAGAAGAGGAGGATGTTCAATCATTGCTATAAGCTTCATCATCACACCATTCTTTTGTTCGATGATCAAAGAGTTACTTACTTTTTTTTTTTTTAGATGTATCTGATGGAAGTGATGATAGTAAAATAGGTATGAGAGATGGTTTAAATGAAAA